TAGGAATTTGGAAAACACTATGCTGAATGAAATAAGCCAGTCCCAAAGGGACAAATATCATATGTTCTCCCTGATCAATGACAACTAACCAAGCACCAAAAAGGAAACCTGTTAAAGTGAACATTATGAGAAACGGTGACTTGATCAGCCCTTGCCCTGACTGTTGATGAACAACTTAATACGTTATCCCTCTTAGTATTTTTTATGTTTGTTCTACTTAATACTTTGGTTGAATACCGTAATCAATACACAGTTATTCTTAAGTGTTGAAACTTAACTGAAAAGTGATCCCTATTAAATATAAGAGTGGGAATAAGAGAGGGGAGAGATGTGCAATTTGGGACATGCTCAAGCTGACTTGCCCCAAACGGTAGAGTTAGAAACATACCAGGGGATTCCAATTCAATCCCATCAAGGAGGCATGTACCAATGCCATCTCAGTAGTCCAAGTGATCAATTTCTGTTCACAATTGATCATAATGATAGGACTAAGAATGAAAGGGATCACATAATCAAGACTAGTGTCTGCAAATATTAACTGATAGAATAAAAAAGGGAGAGAACGATCCAACATGGGAAGTGAGATACACAGCAGACCCATAGAATGGCAGATGTCCTACACAGCACTCTGGCCTCAGAATCAGCCCTTAAGGCATGTGGACCCGGCTGAAAGGCCCATGAGAGTATTTCAGGCATGGAAAGCCAAGACACTCTGAAAAAAAAAAAATGACCTAAATGAAAGATCTCTGTGAGTGAGATCCCAGTGGAAAGAACAGGTCTTCAAAGAAGGAGGTACCTTTCTCTGAAGGGAGGAGAGAACTTCCATTCTGACTACGACCTTGCCTAAATATGATCAGAGTCGGTGAACTCAAAAGGCGTCCATGGCCTTGGCAACTCATGACAAGAGCCTAGGGTGATTACTGAGGCCATAAACAAGAGTGTCTATTTGTTAAGTCAACAACAGGAGTCACTGTGCACTTACTCCTCATGTAGGATCTTTGTCCTTAGTGTGCTGTACATTGAGATTTAATGCTATAACTAGTACTCAAACAGTATTTTTCACTTTGTGTTTCTGTGTGGGAGCAAACTGTTGAAATCTTTACTTAATGTATGCTAAACTGATCTTATGTATATAAAGAGAATTGAAAATGAATCTTGATGTCAATGGAAGGGGAGAGGGAGTGGGAAAGGGGAGGGTTGCGGGTGGGAGGGACGTTATGGGGGGAAGCCATTGTACTCCATAAGCTGTACTTTGGAAATTTATATTCATTAAATAAAAGTTAAAAAAAAAAGAAGTAAAAGAGTAAAAATAATAGTAAGCAAATAGATAGCAAGAATTTCTTCTAAAAACAAAACCAAAAAAATCATATACACCACCAACATCCACTTCTACCACCTTTTGAGAAAAGTCCAGAACCCTACTGAATAATTTCAAACTAGTTTCAGGTACAATCTATTTCTCTATTCTCAGTTTCACATTTAGCAGTTTGAGTAGAAACTGTTATCAATCTGAACCTGAAGGCTGTTCTCAGTCATTTCAGACAGCAGGCAACCCCATGAGGACAGATTTCCAGCCTTGCTTATGGCGACAAAACCTCCTTGCTACCTTAGGATCAGTGTTTTTCTCTTTCTTAAAAACAGGCTATTTTAAGAATATTTAAGAATTTTGTCTTGGCTTACCATTTGGTTCCACTAGTGGGATTTGTTTTCCCTCTATTAATCAAATTGCTTTTCACCAAAGTTTAACCTTCTGAGGGTCAGCTGGGAAAACCATCAACAGAACACAACCATTGCAGCCCGCTGTTACCAGTTGTTACCAGTTGAGGGCTCCACACACCATTTCAAAGGAGGCTTGGAAATAGGATGCCACTGTGCAGACAGAGCCAAAAGGATCCAAACTGCAGGTTACTGCAGCTCTAAGTTCAACCCCTCCTTAATCATGAGAAACTCAGTCTCACAGAAAGGAACTGACTTTCCAAAGGTCACACCAACCAATGCATGGCTGGGCAGGGATCAGGTCCCCTGATAGTCACTATGAGCCGAACAGTGCCTCGGACATTCAGTTACAATCACGGCCAAAAATTAAGTAATTTGAGGCAAAATAATTTGTTTCAGAATTCTTACCGTTTCACAGAGAAAGAAAAGCTCTGCTCCTGTTGGCTTAAAATAACCCTTCTTCGGGGCCAGCACTATGGCACAGAGGGTTAAAGCCCTGGCCGGAGGCGTCGGCATCCTATACAGGCACTGGTGCGAGTCCCGGATGCTCCTCTTCCAATCCAGCTCTTTGCTATGGACTGGGAAAGCAGCAGAAGATGGCCCAAGTCTTTGGGCCCCTGCACCTGCATGGGAGACGCGGAAGAGGCTCCTAGCTTTAGATCAGCGTAGCTCTGGCCTTTGCGGCTATCTGGGGAGTCAACCAGTGGATGGAAGACCTCTCTCTCTGTCTCTACCTCTCTCTGTAACTCTGTCTTTCAAATAGATAAAATAAATCTTTAAAAAAAAATAACCCTCCTTCCCAACCCCTTTTATCAGGAACTGAACATCTGAATGCCAAAGATGATGTGAGCATAGAGAGAAGACACCAAAATTTAAGTAACAGGTTTTACTAAAAAATGTCTTTTATTTGAATACTGAATATGTTCTCAGAGGACACAGAATGTGCCAAGAATGGAATTTTCTTAAAGGAAACAATTAAAATGGAAAAAATATAAATTCTAACAATTTCTAAAACGTGACAAATGCTGGATGCATTTATTTTATGTAAAACACTCTTAAGAAATTCCTTTATCATGTGGGTGCAAACTGTTGAAATCTTTACTTAATATATGCTAAACTGATCTTCTGTATATAAAGAGAATTGAAAATGAATCTTGATGTGAATGGAAGGGGAGAGGGAGCGGGAAAGGGGAGGGTTGCGGTGGGAGGGAAGTTATGAGGGGGTAACCATTGTACTCTATAAACTGTACTTTGGAAATTTATATTCATTAAATAAAAGTTAAAAAAAAGAAAAAAAATTCCTTTATCTGCTAAGTCATGGTTTAATGTAAATTTACTTGAATCATGAGTATTTGATATTGTACAAGAAAAAAAAAAACACCTATATAAAATAGACACAGGAAAGGAAATAATGCATTAAATGCCTTTAATGAAAATAGTGCTTGGCAATTACAAAACAATTTACTTTAAAAAAAAGCCTCTACCTAGTGTCTATATGGCAGTACTTCTGTTACTGGCATAAAATAAGACTTCACATTCCACAGTGAAATTCACATAATACAGAGAATGTGCTCTGTCCTTACGATAGGATGGCAGGAAGTTTGTTTCCAGCTCCTCAGGATGCTCAGAGCAGGGACAAGACAAGTCTCAGCATCATCATGAGGCTGGATCAAAAGAAAAAGACAATGGGAGGGTCACTCTCACCTGGCCAAGACAAGAAGGGTTAAAGGCCCAGCTCACCTAGAGCGCTCCCAGCTCCGGATTCCTGGGCTCTCTCCTAGCTCTGCTTCAAAAGGCAGGTGGCGGAAGACTCCTCATCTTTGTATTCTAACTTCTCAAACACTGCTGAATTAGCCATTTTAAAATGTCACTGAATCAATAAGAAAAATCAGAACTTGCTCTTTTTTTTTTTGACAGGCAGAGTGGACAGTGAGAGAGAGAGACAGAGAGACAGGTCTTCCTTTTGCCGTTGGTTCACCCTCCAATGGCAGCCGCAGCCGGCACGCTGTGGCCTGCACACCGCGCTGATCCGATGGCAGGAGCCAGGTACTTATCCTGGTCTCCCATGGGGTGCAGGGCCCAAGCACTTGGGCCATCCTCCACTGCACTCCCTGGCCACAGCAGAGAGCTGGCCTGGAAGAGGGGCAACCAGGACAGAATCCGGCGCCCCGACCGGGACTAGAACCCGGTGTGCCAGTGCCGCAAGGCAGAGGATTAGCCTAGTGAGCCGTGGCGCCGGCCTGCAGTGAGGTTTTATGAGGAAAAGGTTTGAAAAGAAATGCCAACTTTCAAAAGCTAGCAAAGCAAACAAAATAATCACAGAGCACTTTTGGGGACAGTTACGACATTCTCAGCTACTTCTCTGTAAACTTCATCCTGGCTCCCTCCACCACCAAGGACCATGTATGACACAGGGCTATACCTGGGAAGCAACCCTTGGTGATCACACCCTCCCACACACACACCCAGAAATGCAACACAGAGAAACTTCTGCAGAAAAGTAGACAGAATATTAACAATCACTCATTATGCTACCATCCATGGAGAAACACTGCTAACAGTTTAAGGTATTCCCTTCCTATTTTTATAAAGAAATATTTTTTTTAAAACTGGGATCACATTATATTTGATTGTATTTTATCCTGTTTTTATACCTTGCTATGTCAGTCAGATTTTCCAATGCCACTAACTAGTTTTTGAAAGAATGAACTAATGTTCTCATAAAATGAACAACACATTTATTGGAAACATTTCCTTACTGGTAAACTTTTAGGCTGTTCCTAACTTTTCAGCTTTTCATGTTTTCCATTAGAAATAAAGTTGCGGGGCCAGCGCTGTGGCGTAGCAGGTAAAGCTTCTGCCTTCAGTGCTGGCATCCCATATGGCCGCTGGTTCGAGTCCTGACTGCCCCACTTCTGATCCAGCTCTCTGCTATGGCCTGGGAAAGCAGTGGAAGATGGCTCAAGTCCTTGGGCCCCTGCACCCACATGCAAAGACCCAGAGGAAGCTCCTGGCTCTGGATCAGCGCAGCTTCGGCTGTTGCGGCCAGCTGGAGAATGAACCATTGGATGAAGACCTCTCTCTCTCTCTCTCTCTCTCTGTCTCTCTGTCTCTCTGTCTCTACCTCTCTCTCTGTAACTCTGCCTTTCAAATAAATAAATAAATCTTAAAAAAAAAAAAAAGAAAGTTGCATTTTACTTTTAAATGAAAATTGACTTCTGCCAAAAATTCATCACTTTGAAATGATGGCAAAGGAAAATATAGATCAAAATAGTTTTTCTTACCTCAAACATGCAATCAGCCCAGCAGGCATTATTTTCTTGGATCTCTTAAATCTCACACCCATCATGGTGGCCAGGAAGAAAGCTGTATCTGGAAACCAAACCAATCCATGGAACAGAGTTCAAAAACCTTATCAAACACTTGCATGTGGAAAATACAAATATCATTACAAAGTGTTTAACATGACATTATAATATTATGGCCATGTATTGAGTTGCTCTTTCCTAGAAAAAAAAACAGAATGTTCTCTGAAATGCTTTATGAACTAGCTTATCAGAAAGTTTGAGTAAACAAACATATTAAAATATATTCCTGAAATATTTTCAAGAGAAAATTCTTTGCTAAGCTAAATTTCTGTTCATAGAACACTATCTGAAGGTTATTACTACATCTTATTCAGCTTCCCCAAGAAATATTAGTGGGGGCCAGCGCTGTGGTATAGCAGGTAAAGCCACCAACTGCAGTGGCAACATCTCGAATGGGCACTGATTTGAGTCTCAGCCACTCCACTTCTGATCCAGCTCCCTGCTAATATGCCTGGGAAAGCAGTGGAAGATGGCCCCTGGACCCACTTAGGAGACCTGAAAGAAGCCCTGGCTCCTGACTTTGGATTGGCCCAGCTCTGGCCATTGTGGCCATCTGGGGAGTGAACCAGCAGATGGAAGATCTGTCTGTCTCTCTGTAACTCTTTCAAATAAATAAGATCTTAAAAAAAGAGAGAACTGTATCTGTAAATCACATTGAATCTTTTAAAAACTAAAGTTAAAATGACAAAAAAATTATTTTAAAAAAGAAGCATTAGGGCATCTACTTGGACCCATGGGAGATAATAAATGTTTAGTTTTAACTGAATGTAAGGAAAATAACCAGTATTTAAAAGTAAGAACTAATTAATATGTCAATACCAGGAAGAAGGCTGGTTTTTCTCTTTATAGCATTCCCTTCTGGGGAATGTGAAGCCTGGAAGATAAATAACTGCCTAAGCAATCATATTATATTCAGAGCATCATGTCAGCATTTTACAGGATGCCCCAGTAGGAAGGCAGAGGTGGTTCTATGTAAGACATTAGAGCACTGATGTCACAACTTAAAAACAGATTTTAAAGAAAAATTATTTATAGGAAAAATAAAATGGCTGGCAATAAACATATGTGGATTACTTAAATGCATATGAAGTAAAACTTCGATCTGCTGATATAGCTGCATCTTCTAACATAATCCAATTATTATTAAAAAAAAATTAGCCTTAGCCCCTATTTAAAATAAGAAAGAAAAAAAAAAAGAAATACCACATCTCTTTATCTCCCTTAAATGCAAAACTGGTATAATTTTGTCTTTGTATTTTCTTCCATATGCTACCATGGAACTTCAAATCATAAGTAAATCAAATAATGACAATTTTCTTGGTGTGTTTTCCCAAACCCCCACTGGATTTCTTTTTATTGTTGGTTATTTTTTGTCTTATTTATTTATCTAATGGGAACAGATTTCATGTATTTCATACACACAGTTTTAAGAATATAATGGTATATATTTCTCTTTCAAGTCACATAACAGCAGCCAAATGTTCAAGAGGCTTTAATCACATAAGTTTCCACTTTTTCTGTGGCTATTCCACTAAGGCCAACAAAGGGAGAAATTAAAAATCAGCCTTGCTTTTCTAGATTAGATCTTAAGGCAGAAAAGAATCCTAAGCCATTTGTGAACTAAATAAAGTAGTACAAGGCTATCTCTTCTTAGGTATTTTTACAGCAACATAAAAACTGCTAAATAGGCATTCAAGAAAATTAGCTGAAAATCTGGAACTAACTCCTTGCTCTTTCCAATTTAGCGTAACTTAAATTTTCCAGCAACAAGTTTAACAGAATTGGAAGACCTGCCATCAGTACAAATATTTTTGATCAAGTCTGTCTAGAAAGGTACAAGAGTTGTGTGCAATCTCAACACACACACAAGGCCACTTTGTCATTGACAGCATGTTTCCTAGAAAACCTAGTATAGGGTGTTCAAAAAAGCCATCCCCAGGATTCAATCCTGTGTAACTGAGAAAAATGTCTTACTTACATAGTGACAGTTTTATATCCCGTTTGTCATTGGAGACACGGTAAGCGCCATAGCCAGCCAAAACTCCAATGAAAATTCCAGCAATCAAAGACAGAACACCACCTGGGTGGAACAAATATAAATACAGGCTCACAAAGATACACCCTCAATGAAAGGAAGCTATTCCAAAGCTTCAAGTACAAAGTATAATAGTCAAATGTACTCCCAGTTGGTCAGAGCTAAATTAGGCAGCAGACCTGGTCAAGGACACTGTCTGTCCATGGCTGTTCACGCACAGGAGCCCTGAATGCACAGCAATGAGGAGTTCAGGACATCACTTGGGGGGACAAAGAAAACCCCCTGTGGTGGTGGATTTGACACAGATAGCATGACCTTGGGCAATCAGTTGGCTTTTCTATGCTCCTTTTATTTTCCTTTTTTTGTTGCTGCTGTTGTTTTTCTCATTCTCCTTGGCTTGATCTTTTTACTGTGAGGTTGTGATCATGGAAAATAAGATATAAAGGTAATTGTAACTCACAGAAGTAAACAGAGAAGTACTATGAAAACCAAGCAATGGTTCTGTCCTGAATAATTAACAAATCTTCAGGACTCAAGTGCTGATGAGCACTGCATCAAGACAAGAACCAGGACACTGATCCAGCCAGCCAACCCCCAACCCATCCATCCGCCTCAGGGCACTGTGACAAACACCAAGCACTTCCTGTGCACTGGACAGCGGGCCATATGCTGGTGAGAGCATGAGTGGGGCAAACATAATCCTTACTTCATGGGACTTACTTAGAACACACTTGCATTAGAATCCCGGGGGGTAAGGTCGAGGTACCCGTACTTTTAAATATCAATAGGAAATTCTGACACACAGCCAGGGTTAATCATTGTGGCACATGCAATCATAAACACACACACACACCATAGCAGCAATAGCATCCCGAAAGAGAAGTTGAACACACTAAGTTCTAGTCCTAATTCTTTGACTCACTGGCTGAAGACTTTGGCTAAATCACTTAGCCTTTCTGAGTTTTCTCAGTTGCATAATAGGGTTAATATCACCCATGTAAAATACATAAAAAGGTTTAGAGCGTTATAGGAGGAGATAATATTAAATTCTTCATTGTTTCCTCCCAAATCTATTCAAATCCAACAACATGTTTTATACATGTACAGCCAGAGGCAGGCCTTACGGTACAGTGGGTTGAGCCACTGCTTGTGACACCCACACCCCGTATCACAGCACTGGTTCTACTCTGGCTACCCTGTTTCCTATGAAGGCCCTTACTAATACATCAAGGAAGCAGCAGATGATGATCCAAGTACTTGAGCTCCTGCCACCCAGGTGGAAGATCCAGATGGAGTTCCTGGCTCCTGGCTTCAGCCTGGCATACCCCCAGCTGTTAAGGAGTAAACCAGCAAATGATCTCTCTCCCTCTCTCCCTCTCTTTCGCCTCCCTTCTCCCTCTCTGCCTTTCAAATAAAATAAATACAACTAGAAAAGCCATTCCCCTAACTAAAAAATCTTGAGGATTCAGAAATATCTGTGTCCTCTCACCAAACACCATGTTGGCATCACAGCTTTCCCCCACCCAACACTACTCTCCATAACTGGCCCTTGGCAGGGTCTCCTGCCCCAGCTGCACGGGACTCACACCTACAGCAGCTCTGAGTGACAACAGAGAGTACTGACTCACTTTACACAAATGTTTTAAGATATCTCCGTTGTAGGCAATTAGAATATAACACAAAGTGGCCGGCACAACGGCTCACTAGGCTAATCCTCCACCTTGCGGTGCCAGCACACCGGGTTCTAGTCCCGGTCGGGGCGCCGGATTCTGTCCCGGTTGCCCCTCTTCCAGGCCAGCTCTCTGCTGTGGCCCGGGAAGGCAGTGGAGGATGGCCCAAGTGCTTGGGCCCTGCACCCCATGGGAGACCAGGATAAGCACCTGGCTCCTGCCATCGGATCAGCGCGGTGCGCTGGCCGCGGCAGCCATTGGAGGATGAACCAACGGCAAAGGAAGACCTTTCTCTCTGTCTCTCTCACTGTCCACTCTGCCTGTCAAGATAAGAGTCGGAGAACTCAAGGGGCTTCCATAGCCTTGGAAACTCATGACTGGAGCATAGGGAGATTACTGATGCCATAGACAGGAGTGTCAATTGGTAAAGTCAACAACAGGAGTCACTGTGCACTCACTCCTCATGTAGGATCTCTGTCCTTAATGTGCTGTGCATTGAGATTTAATGCTATAACGAGTACTCAAATAATATATTTCACTCTGTGTTTCTATGGGGGTGCAAACTGTTGAAATCTTTACTTAATGCATACTAAACTGATCCTCTGTAAAAAAAAAAAAAAAAAAGAAAGAAAAGAAAAGAAAATAAAAGAAACTATCAACTCCCAACTTGACTCTCACTGGGATTAAACATGACAATAGGTCTGATCTGATTTCATCATCATTAAAAAAAAATCATCTATTATTTTTCACTTTATGTTTCTGTGTGGGAGCAAACTGTTGAAATCCCTACTTAATGTATACTAAGCTGATCTTCTGTATATTAAGATAATCGAAAATGAATCTTGATGTGAATGGAAGGGGAGAGGGAGTGGGAAAGGGGAGGGTTGTGGGTGGGAGGGACGGTATGGGGGGGAAGCCATAGTAATCCATTATTCGTACTTTGGAAACGTATATACATTAAATAAAAGTAAAAAAAAAAAAAGAATTCTAAAAAAAAAAAAAAAATATATATATATATATATATATATATATATATAACACAAAGTAAAAAACCAGCAAAGGGAACAATGCTCCACCGGCCCGCAGACCTCCCCACTGCCATGGCAGCAGTGGGAGGAACCGCTTGACTCTGGCTAGCACTATGTGCGATGTGTTACATGCATTTTCTTATTTAACTCTAACAGCTGAGGAACTGAGGCCCATAAATTAAAACTTAGCAGGACCAAGATTAGAATTTAGGAACGCTTGCTTCTGTGGCTGATGCTCTTCACCCACGTTACACTACCAGAGTAGGCTACCTGGTGAAGACATATTAACCCCAAAGGTTGCCAGAATCACTTGAGCAAGGGTTCTTGCAGGCCAATAGGGAGCCATACTGTGCAGCTGAACAAGATGCCCCTGAAATCAGAGATCTTACAGCTTACGTGATTTTATTTGTTTCCACCAGCTGATAAAACCTGAAGAGATTTGGGTTAAAAAAATCATAACATCCACCCCAATTCCAACACACACACATTCATGCATTTATGCACACATTCACACACTCCCCTCACCCCATCCCTTCTTCCCACCTCCCAAAAGAGCAGGCAAAAATGTCCAGATTTTCTTTTCTGTTCAGCAACAAAAGTTATTTTGACACAGCTTTAACAATGAAAAAATGTGTTTTCAGTAACAATTCTACCAGGATTTAAACTAAGTCCTTTATAAAGTAGTGGGGGGGGGGGTAGCATTGAGGCCCAGCAGATTAAGCTCCTGCCTGTGACACTGGGATCCAATGAGTACCAGTTTGAGTCTCGGCTGCTCCACTTCTGCCCTAGCTCGCTGCTAATGTGCCTGGAAAAACAGCAGAAGATGGCCCAAGTGCTTGGGTCCATACACCCACGTGGGAGACCCAGATGGAGTTCCAGGTTCCCGGCTTCAGCTTGGCACAGCCCCAGCGGCTGCGGCCATTTGGGGAGTGACACACTGAATGGAAGATACCTCTCTCTCTCTCCCTTTCTTCCTCTGTCTCTCCTCTTTCTATATATTACTCTTTCAAATAGATAAAGAAATCTTTAAAAAATAAACAAAGTAGCAATGAAACTTCAACTTTTGAATGATTACTTACAAGTCTTACTTTGGTGCTTTTTTTCCTTAAGATACGAGACTACTTCAAAAAATTCATAGAAAACAGAATTAAAAGACAAGTTTATTTTTGATGCCAAAAAATTTAAAATCCATGCTTGTTTCATAATGTGCATTTCCATGAACTTTTTGAACACCCCTTATACATACCCATTGAGATAGAACAATAAATATCTAATGAGAATTACAGGCTGTGCCGGCGCCGCGGCTCACTAGGCTAATCCTCCGCCTAGCGGCGCCGGCACAGCGGGTTCTAGTCCCGGTCGGGGCGCCGGATTCTGTCCCGGTTGCCCCTCTTCCAGGCCAGCTCTCTGCTGTGGCCAGGGAGTGCAGTGGAGGATGGCCCAGGTGCTTGGGCCCTGCACCCCATGGGAGACCAGGAGAAGCACCTGGCTCCTGCCATCGGATCAGCGCGGTGCGCCAGCCGCAGCGCACCGGCTGCGGCGGCCATTGGAGGGTGAACCAACGGCAAAGGAAGACCTTTCTCTCTGTCTCTCTCTCTCACTGTCCACTCTGCCTGTCAAAAAAAAGGAAAAATGAGAATTACAGGCTGTGACGAATCTTAGAAGTCATCTATTTTAGCCCTCAGCCACCAGAGAACTATGCTTTTGACTTCTTAGCCATCTCAAGGGAAGGAATTAACTAGGAGTAATGAAGACCAGACATTTTCAGGCCAACTCAAGTGCATCAGATATGCCAAAAACACTTTGCAAAACAACTGTATTTTTATAAATTTCATTAAAATATATGGAATGGAAACATGAGACACCATGACCATAAATGCTTCCACCTTAAAAAAAAAAGTAAAATATAAACCTTGATCTTTCATTTTTCTCCATAAAAATTCTTTAATTGACCAACTGGGTTTTCCCCCCTTTTTTGAACAGTGATCAAGAGACAACTTGGGATGTACCATCTTAGGTATTTAACAAATTTTTCCTATGCAACACACAATATTAACATTATTCTGTTTTTTCATATGATGAGGTAATCAAAAAGAATCCTTATTTAATAGTAAGCGAGAGGCCTTAAGTGAAATTAAATCTGTTAATTATGCAATTGATAGCAACAGATGAAATTATAGAGTCCCATGATGGAGAGAGGTCCAGAGGCCTCTGCCATGCCTGGCCCTACATAAGCTCCTCCCCTCCAGGAATTGCTCCCATGACACACTGGTGCTCAAGGGCATCTTTAACTTCTTGTCTTACAGACCACAGGATGATCCCAGCACAACCATCAACTCCCCACCAAACCCCTCTGATGAAAAATTTGCTTTAGGCTTACCTCTCCGTTTATATCCCAAAATGCTTCCAAAGATAACAAGAGCTGCATAACCAAAACCAATCAGGTCCATTGGTGAGACTGCAATTCTAAAGTAAGGGGGAAGGGACAAATAAATAAATATATATATATATAAAATTTTTTTAAAAAACCAAAAGACTGTTGCATGTAAAAGTGAAATATATCCCACAAAATTACAAACACTGGGGCCGGCACTGTGGCACAGTGCTGAAGTGCCAGCATCCTATATGGGTGCCAATTCGAGTCCCGGCTGCTCCACTTCCGATCCAGCTCTCTGCTATGGCCTGGGAAAGCAGTAGAAGATGGCCCAAGTTCTTGGGCCCCTGCACCCATGTGGGAGACCTGAAAGAAGCTCCTGGCTCCTGGCTTCGGATTGGTGCAGCTCTGGCTGTTGTGACCAATTGGGGAGTGAACCATCAGATGGAAGACCTCTCTCTCTCCCTGCCTCTCCTCTCTGTGTAACTCTGACTTTCAAATAAATAAATAAATCTTTAAAAAAAATTACAAACATTAATTTCTCTAGTCTACTAAAGAAAAGAGGGCTTGCTCTTCACCTCTCCCTACACTCAGCCACAGTCCCCCCAATTCCATCGCTCTCAGAAACAATTAGGGACACCTCGGGATGATTCTCCTTTGCCTGTCTGTGTGGGCTGCCATAGCTCCAGCTGTTTAATTCTTTCTGTTTTCCAAATGAACACTTTGTTCTGCTCAGCTGAGTCTCCTCCCTGGACCACAACACTTTGCTCCTCACTTCTCTCCTCCACACCTAGAATGTCCTCCTTCTCCTCTACCCACAACACCCTACCCTCCCCTCCTCCCTTGGAGCTTCACCCCCTGGCTTTTGCTCCATTCATTACCTCCCAATCTCCTAATCCCGAGCCTGCACCAACCAACCGATCTGGAGCACATAGCTTCTTCCTCCGCTAATTTCCCTGCCTATCACAGCTCCCAACTTCTAATTCTTTTACATTTGTGCAGAGTTTCCTCCCATCCTCTCCACACTACACAACAGCAAAGAGGTAACAGAGACATTTGGTGACTGAACCAAATATCTGCTTGTAAACATTTGTTTTGTCACTAGCTTCATGGTGAGACAGCTAGCTACTCTGTGGTGGCAGAGGCTGTTTGTCCTGGGCCCACACCCCTCCCTCTGTCCACTCTTCCCAAAAGAAATAGCAATAGACAAGATGAGTTCTAAAGTTCCTTGCAGCTTTTTAAGTCCTAAGACTCCTGGTGGTGCTTTTACATATTTTTTGCATCTGCATTTCCTCTATGAGAAATATCTTTGTAAACATGAAGAAGAGTATGTTAGAGTTCTTGTATTGTTTTACAATCTTCTCACTACTCATCATTAATGTTAACAGGTCTTTTATTCCCGGTAGTAAAATAGTAACAAATTGACACAGAAGGACAGAAAAAACAGTTTGGAGCTTATCTCAAAGAATCAACTACAACTACTGTGAGGAAGGGTCTGGAGGGAGGGAAACTGGGGCACTAAAAGGAGGCAACATTGAAAAACCGTTCACTTCTATCGGAAGAATTACAACAGGAGAGCTCACCTGTGCCCGAGAACAGTACTGGGGGATGCAACATGTAGGAAAGACCTGCAATTAAAACCACTTGTGGACTGAATGACAGATCAATAATAACAATAATGAGGAGAATGACAATGTTGTGCTGGGCACCCTTCTAAGGCATCACATATATCATTCAATCATGACCACAACCCTACCAGGGAAGTACTATCATTACTTCTACTTCCCAGTTGAGCAAACAGAGGCATGGCAAAGGCATGCAATGCCTCAGGTGACACAGGCTCAGGGGAGTCTCACTTCTAACCACTGCACACTGTCACTTCTGACACTGGAGTTAACTTGATGAAAAAAGTAAAGATGCAAACACAACTCACGTTCTTCAGTTTTCAGAGCTCACGGCCTTGTATCTGCTGACTTACCTTCATCAGCCCTACATGCCTCTCGTGTTCAGTCCTCCTTACTCTCCTTCCCAAAGAGCTAATCGTATTCCACAGTGTATGTCCAGCTTCAAACCTGATGCCACTACTTACTAGTTAGGGCATTCCTTAACCTGTCAGTTTCTCTGCCTCTCAATGAGGCGTAATAAACATACCCAACTCACAGGGTTGGAAGAGGTGATTGAGTTAATACTGTAAAGCACTTAGAATTGTCCCTGACACATACAAAGCACTCTACAAATATTAGCTGCTTTAATAATAATGATCAGTCTTCTCTTTCACCCTTATACCTATTTTTAAGCTTGACAGGTGTAAAGACATTAGTATTTTCAGAATATGGAGAAAATAGTAGGGTAAATTTATGATTCAGGTATTCAATGAATCATACCATAATATTACAACCTATAATTTATAGTCATTTCCATTTAACAACCATTTATTGAGCACTGCTTTTGTGCTAGGCAGTAGCATGGCCTTGTTCTTCCAGGACTGTATGGTACAGCCTGGTAGAGAAGACAAATATGTGAAAGAGCTCTAAGAAGAGGGGCACCTTGGGGCCAGCTTTGTGACACAGCAGGTTAAGCCGCAGCCTATAATGTCGGCAGCCTATATGAGCACAGGTTTGAGTCTGGCTGACCCATTTCCAATCCAGCTCCCTGCTAATGCACCTGGGAAGGCAGAGGATGATGGCCCAAATAATTGGGCCCCTGCCACCCATGTGAGAGACCCAGATGGAGTTCCTGGTTCCTGGCTTTGGCCTGGCCCAGCCCTGGCTCTTACAGCCATTTGGGGAGTGAACCAGCAGCAGCAGATTTCTCTCTTTCTAGCTCGCTCACTCAACTCTGCCTTTCAAATAAAGAAACACTTAGAAAAACAAAAACAGGAAGCAGCACCTTGGGAGCCTAAGGAAGGATGCAGAGTCCATCCAGCTGGGATCTTGGGGAGCGCAGAGGAAGCCAAGTGGCAAGGAAGGAAGATCCAGGCTATAGGGAGAACACCTGCAAAGGCCTAAGAGCATGAGAAAGCATGGGCACGCTCTCAAAATACAAAGTGCAAGGAGGTTGTAAAGAGAAGGGGGACTGGTGAGCAGGATAGGACCTGAACACCCATGCAAGCCCCGTAAAGAGAGTCTGCTTCTCTCATAAAAGCAATGAGGGATCAAAGAAGGGAGCCCCACAATCGTAACTGAATTTCGGCGAGTGCTTCCTGACTGCAGTAGCAGAAGATGAACTACAGTGAGGCAGGGAGAAAAATAGGGCGGCTGCTGCCGTAAACTAGGCAAAAGCTTAGCTGATGCTGGTAGCCTGGCCTAAAGAAATGGCAATGAGGGTGGAGGGACATGCAGGGATTTGGAAGAGGTTTACAAAGTAGAAAGTCCTGGTGTGGAGAGGGAGGACGGATGAGTCACATATGAGTAACCCCTAGGTGTCTGGCTTGAACCATTAGAAGAGGTTGGGGTGACAGAGCCTTGATGCTACTCCACGTAGGCAGATTATCTACTGGAGCAGCAGCAAGGTGTGTGGAGGGGGGAGAAGAGAGAGGTGGTCAGGAATGATGGGCCCCACCTGGAGTATACTCCGCCAGAGATCCCCTAACACACAGGAAAACACTCCCACGTACAGGTCTGGAGTTCATGAGAGACAGGTCATTATCAAGTACTTTAAGCACCTGATTTCTCCTGAGGCCAAGCAGCTGGTGTCAAAGACAGATTCCGCCATTCCTCCCCCATCCTCCCTTGGGGGAACACACCCCTTCCTCCTGCTATACAGTCACTTATGTTGGGATTCGCTCTGCTCTCAGCCAACTCAAGCTCCCTGGGGGCAAGCCCAGGTTCAGTTCACCTTTCTCCTCCTCACTGCACCACTCGCATTGACCTGCACATGGCAGGGAAAAGGAAGCACACATTAAAGCCAGAGTCTGGGTAAACACCAGAGGGATAGGGTTGGGAGGTGGCAGCCCATCACAGGCCCGGAGGCCAACCCCTGCTCAAAGACTTGTACAAGGCCACAAAGCATCTTGGGTGCAATGCAGCAAAATGATTGCACTAAACACAAATCCCGGGAACAAGTCCTCCAACATGAGGGGAACTCATTAAGATATTTGCTTTGAACTATTACAGTATATAAAAAAGCACGTTCACGTGGTGAGTCTAACAATTCCCTCCCTCCCACCCCTTGAGCTCCTGGGCCATGAAAGATATTTTCCAGTGAAGTCTGCGTGGTGCTTTGGACATCAAAAGCATCAGGCATTTTTGCAATGGTGCCTGAGCTCACTCCCCGACCCCACACCACCACAACCACTCCGGGAAGGTAGGAGACAGGATGGCTGGGAGATTTAGGGCCACGAGAAAGCAGAAAGTTGGGAATTCCCAGGAGGAGCGGTGCCTAGCCCCCCGCAAAAATCCGCCCCCCTTGCCCCTTTGTGTGAAGTGGGGATTTCGGGAGTAGGGGCTCTCACTAAAGGCTCTTTTTTTTTTTAACAGGCAGAGTGGACAGTGAGAGAGAGAGACAGAGAGAAAGGTCTTCCTTTGCCTTTGGTTCACCCTCCAATGGCCGCCGTGGCCAGCATACTGCGGCCAGCGCACCGCGCCGATCCGATGGCAGGAGCCAGGTACTTATCCTGGTCTCCCATGGGGTGCAGGGCCCTAGTACTTGGGCCATCCTCCACTGCACTCCCTGGCCACAGCAGAGAGCTGGCCTGGAAGAGGGGCAACCGGGACAGAATCCGGCGCCCCAACCGGGACTAGAACCCAGGGTGCCGGCGCCGCAAGGCGGAGGATTAGCCTAGTGAAGTAAAGGCTCTTTTACTTCTGTGCCTCAGCAGGAAAATCCCAGGCAGGAAGGTAGCGACTGCAGGATGCACAGCGCACCTGTGGCCCTGGGCCCTCCCCATAACTGAAGAAAGAAAGTGGGAACCAGCAAGAGGCAAGCGTCTTACCTGGATCCCGGAAGCGGTCTCTGAGCCAGGGCGGTCCTCCTCAGCGGCCTGCCTTTGAGCTACGGCCGTTGCCTGCCGGCAACGCCTCCCCCGCTGCGCGCATGCCCCGGTGAGGCTCAGCCCCGCCCAGGCTCAGCCCCGCCCAGGCCCAGCCCCGCC